TTTTTCCTCGTCGGATACAAAAAATAAATACGCAATATGAGTAGAATTTTAGTAAGAAGGTTCAATCACTTTTCTCAAGTCATATACGATAGAAACAATATACAAAACTAGTAATCTAGTATATTCTTTGAAGAAAAAGGGGTGTCATTTAAGTGGTCAGTAGAATAAATGTAACGGCCAGTAAAGTAATGATTGATTAGTGAATTATTGAAATGGTCAGTAATTAATTTGATAGGTCCATAATAAAATTTAAACAATCAGTAAATAAAATGGAATAGAAAGTAAAAAAATATAAATTTGTCCAAAGATGGTCTACTTTTCTTTTTTTTACTGACAAAAGTCATACTTTTTCACTGCTATTTCCACAAAATCTGCTGACCACTTTCGAATTGTTTACTGATTTTTTTGAAAACTGACCAATTAATATATTTACTGATATTTCAATTATTTTACTGACCGCAAAACATATTCCCAAAAAAAAGTCATCCAGATCGAATCGATGGTTTTATTATAACTACATAATTTATATAGAGAAGTTGTGTGTCTATTAAATGAAATTCATTTTGAATTAGAGATATTACTGTAATTAAAAGAAGATCGAGTAACTATTGTTTTAATAATGCAGAGGTGCAGGATCTTCCTCGTGCGCTCCCGCGTGGGGACGGGGAAATTTCTTTTCTCGGAAAAATTCCGCACCTCTGCAATATTGTAGTATAAAGTTGGTAAATTCAAACTGAATTGACTTTCCTCAACTATCCTGTCTTCACTACTATCTGATCATCTCTACCTTTCTAAAAATTCTGTATGAACATAATGGAATTTTCTTCGATAAAATTTACTCATATTGCGTATTACAAATATCCACTTAATCATACTTTCATATATATAATTGCAAAAGTTTTCTTCCATTCAGCATCCATAAAAAAGCTATATCGAAAAAAATGTTAATTTGTTTTCAAATGATTTTCTTTTTACCTATTAATAAATATTTGATGTAACGCTGATCTTGCACTTTTCCAAAGCATTTTTTCTCCTAATAAAACTTTTTCAGTAATGATAATATTTTGCTTATCGTCACATTCCATTTCACATTCACAGAATATTCTTCGAAAACCATCCGATATTGCTATTGTATCTTGTAAATAACTCAATAGTTTTTGTGCAAAATATTGTAATGATATAAATGAACTTGGATAAATTTCACATTTAAGTGGAATTTCAGCTGTACGTGCACGTATTGTGTTTTTTGCCTCAACACATTGATCCTTTGGGCCGATACGTATAACTGTTCGACCTTCACGATCAACTAATGATGCAAATTCATGGCCTTCTTGTTTTGTACATTGAATAGCACGACTAAGTACATTTATAACTTGATCATATGTATGAACCTCATCATTGAATAACATTGTAACATATCTTTTATGATCACCATCCCAATACCTAAATAGAAACAGATGAAGACCTAATATCTTTCTAGGATTTGTATGTATAGAAATTCTCGAATAGTTCTATTACATATAAACTGAGTCTTCTAATAAAAACAAAAAAAGATAATTCGTACTCATTTTTTAAGTCATTTGGTATATCTTGATAATTTTCTGTACAAAGTAATTTAATAATAAAATGAAGTAATATATGAAATAATTGTTTAGCACGTAAACGAAGATCTGATGGTAAACGATTAAGTATATCATCGGCTGATTCATTATTATCATCACGTGGTAAATGTAAATTACAATGTACATATTGTTTCCATGCTTCACTATCACCACAATCACAATATCCACCACCAGCTGATACATTCATCTAAATCAAACAACAAAAATATAAATAAATTGATTTAGAAAATGAAAAATTTTACTTTATATCGATGTTTTCGATGTTCACTTTGAAGAAAACATTCCGTACATAAAACGCATGTTGGATCAACACAACAATCACGACAAAAATATGTTGGTTCATCCGATTTAAATAAATGTCCACAGACAGTTGATTGTTTATTAAATGAACGAATAGTTTGTATTGCCTCATCAGTATTTAATGTTCCATATAGATATATATCAAGTGGTCGAAAAAGTATTTCTTGTGTACGTTGTTCAATAATACCTTTTATTAATTGTGTATGAAATATATAACATTGTGGAACAAAGGTTTTCCAATGTTCAAATAAAGCTTTTTCTAAATCAGTTGTTTTAAGTAATTCTTCACCAAATTTATTTCCATCGAAATTAATTAATTCGTCAGATAAAGGTGGTAAATCGATATTGGTTGTTATTGATGGTAAATTACTATTACTATCGTCATCAGCTAATGCCATATTTAGTGCATCTTGTACATTAGCTGCAGTTATTTCTACATCGAGCATAAATTCGTCATTATCAGATAAATCAATTGAATCGACATCATCCATAATCGATAAATAACAATTTAAGAATTTTTATGTAAAATAAACGAAAAAAAAGAAATTTTTATCTAAAATATGTTATGTCAGAAGATAAGAATGACGTTCAGGTGTTATGTTTTGTTTCTCCCATAAATGTTCGACAATATTAATAAGTGCAGTCATGCGACTTAGATGACAGGGATAGTGGCGCTTTCATACGAATTGTTTTAGATTTATATTATAGATGGCAGACGTAGACAGATTATTATTTTTATAATCTTCTGCATGTACGAAACAGAAATAAAATACATCAGAGACAAAAAATGAATAAGTCAAGTCAGACTTAACTTGACGTTTTTGGATAAATACGCTTGTTTTCACTAAATCAGTATTTAATATGCTATTAAAAATTTAACTGCTCCTGAAGTAAAAATATCCATTGATTGTATAATAAGAATAAAGTTGTCAATTCTTTGGCGTGGAATTACAGTTCAGAATATTTGTTTTATTTATTGATTTGATAAATCTTCTTTTCTGACTTTATCTACACATTTAATATCAATAAATTGTTGATACCTATTAAACAATTCTAAAATTTATTGCGAAATTGATTATATTCTCGAAATAAAAATGAAATTTTTCAAATAATATTTCTAATACACTATAATAATTGATTATTAAATTTAGTTAGTTTTTATCTTACTATCGATGCGACTCATTAATTCATCATCTAAGAGTTAGACTAAGACATTTGGTCACTACAACAGTCTATCTTAAAAGAACAAGAAAAATATTTTACCTACTTTTTATAACGTATCTCACTTACATTTTGTTTCTTATATTGACCATAAACAATAATACGATAGTTCATTGTGCTGCCGGTCAACTAATAGATTAAAAATAATGTATATGCTGTAGGCAAAATTAAAATCCAGTCTAATTTGAAATCTGACTAGGCAAAATTGAAATTTCAATTTTGACTGATCTATTCTTCTTGTGTTAACTATAGTTATTCTCACAACTAAGCAAATTAAGTCAGAATCAAGAATCGATGTTGTGTACGATGAGTGACTTATCCAGTAAGGGGTTGTTGTAAAAATAAGTTGATATACAGATGCTCACACATCGTAAAACATCTTAAACATAGATTAAATAACTAGAACTAAATGATGTGTCTTAAAAAGTACTATAAAAAAATATTTGAATTTTGCCTAGTCAAAATTATAATTTGAATCGTATCAAGAAGATCTTCTGTGATAACTGAAAATGTTCATAAAAAGATATAGTTTGATGGTATATGTTTTTCAAGAAGATAAACTATTGTAGCGCTTAATACGATTATAGTTCTAACAATAGAGGTCACTTTAGATACATATAATATCTTTTCTCTAATTCGTGCTTCTTTGACGTCCATCCCATAAGCAGAGAAGAGAGAGATTCATTTGTTTTGTTTATTTATTTACTTGCTTGTTTATTTCGAAATTCGTCATCACTTAACTCAGGCACGTGGATATAAGTTAAATATTAAGTTATTCTTTTGTTTCAAATCTAACAATGCAAACAATTAAATGTGTTGTAGTAGGAGATGGTGCTGTTGGTATGATTATATTATTCATATTCTTTTTTTTTCTTCTTCTTCTAATTATCTTCAATAATAATTCTAGGAAAAACATGTTTATTAATTAGCTATACAACGAACAAATTTCCAAGTGAATATGTACCAACTGTAAGTATGATTATTAAATTTTTAAACTAATTCTAAGAATTTCTATTAATTAGGTATTTGATAATTATGCTGTGACAGTTATGATAGGTGGTGAACCATATACATTAGGTTTATTTGATACTGCTGGTATGATTGATACTTATTTTTTTGCTATTAATAAATTTTACAAAATAAAATTTTAGGTCAAGAAGATTATGATCGTCTTCGTCCATTAAGTTATCCTCAAACGGATGTATTTTTAGTATGCTTCAGTGTTGTTTCACCATCATCATTCGAAAACGTCCGTGAAAAAGTACGTATGATTGATATTAATTCGAGTCAAAAAGTAGGAGTTTAAAAATCAACGATTTTTTTTCTCTTCGTTCTACTCGTAATTAGTAATTTATTGAAAAAGAAAATAATAAATGTCAGTCTTTCTTTGTTGCATCAAATGAAATTTTCATTATTGTAATCTAATAGATTAAGATAAATTTGTTTGGTAATTTTGCTTTTGACTAAATTAATGCATACCATATATATGGTCATGTCTCTCGAGAATTATATATGGTCAAGTTGATTTGCATATTCTATCAATGATTAATAAACTTGACCTAGAAAACATTTTGACATCTAAACATTCTTATATTCAAATTGAAATGATATTTTTTTTCAATAGTGGGTACCAGAAATATCACATCATTGTGCTAAAACACCATTTTTACTTGTTGGTACTCAAATTGATCTTCGAGAAGATCCAAATACAATGGAAAAATTACAAAAATCTCGTCAAAAACCAACATCATTGGAACAAGGAGATAAATTAGCACGAGAACTTAAAGCAGTTAAATATGTTGAATGTAGTGCATTGACACAAGTAAGAAAAATAGAAATGAAAATAAAACATTTTACATAAAAAATTATTTCTTTTTTATAGAAAGGTTTAAAGAATGTATTCGATGAAGCAATTTTGGCTGCACTTGAACCACCGAAAAAATCAAAAAAATCAACTTGTGCTCTTCTATAAAACGATTAAAAATGAATTAATTGTGCTAAAAAACCAAAGAAGGACAGACATTTTTGTTCGCATTTTTTTTTCTTTTTCATCTTAAATAACCTTTTTTTTCTTTCTTTTCGTCTTTGTCTTTTGTGAGAATTGGTTTCTTCTATTAGATGTATGTGTCTGTCTATTTCATGAGTATTATAGAGAAACGTTGTTTCTTTCGTCAAACAAAAAAAGCAATTGTTCTTTTCTTCTTTTCATTTATATTATTGAATAATCTCATCTAATCATGTGTGTTCCATCATAAACTATATATATATATATACATATACATATACATGTTTTTCTTCTGGCTATCTATCTCTCTCTTTTCTTTTTATCTGTAAACCAACATAATATCTTTTGCCTGGTCTTTATCAATAATATAACGATTGCAAACTTTGTGTGCAAGCAAATGAATTGTTGTTATTTAAGTTAGGATATATATATAATTAGATTAAAGGAAGTAAATCGTTATTAAGATTAATCAATCCTAGATGAACATGTTTGATACGCTAATCATAAGTAGGTGATAACCCGAATTAATAAAAAGAAACATTTTATCAGTTACCAATGTAATTGTAATGTATGCTATTTACATATTCTCTTTATCTTATATAGATAAGATGATGTGGAATTTTTTTTTCTTATGTTTACAAGTAGTCATTATTTACTGACTGGATATTTTAGTTATCTTTAGTGATGCATAGAAGTGAACAGATTCTTTTTAATGCTTGAAATTTTTTTCATTCATCTAAATAATCGTTTGATTAAGTAAGTGCCTTTCTTTGTCGGCAGTCTTGTGAATAATTCTAGTACTTTCTTTCTTTCATCTATAAGAACATAAAGTTCATTCTTAGTAAACTATGACGATGCAAATAAGTTCTTATGAATTTTTTGCACGAGAAATTCATAAGATGAATTAAAAAAGTACTACATCATGCTTGTATATTCAAAACGACATTTATTTAGCATGTCTCTTTGAAAACTAGAAACTTTTGTATAGATTAGCTAAAATATTTAATCAAACGATTATTTGAATGACATAATACCTTTTGACACAAAGCTGACACTTTCATAGTATTTATCCAAATATTCATACACATCTATTAATATACCTCGATAGTTTTTTTATTTTTCATATTCAGATATTTCTTTTTTAAAATCGTTATTTAATCACTTTAAGTTGGCGTCCAACTTCAGCAAAAGCATCAATACATCGTTGAAGATCAGCTTTTGAATGAGCACCTGATACTTGTACTCGAATACGTGCACGATCTTTTGGTACCTATACATATGATAATAGAAAAATAAATTCTAATTTCTAAACACATACAACTGGATAACTAAAACCAATGACATAAATTCCTCGTTTTAACATTTCATCAGCAAATTGACTGGCTAATCGAGCATCACCTAACATAACAGGACAAATTGGATGATTATCTCCTAAAATCTTAATTTAAATAAACTTTTTAGAATAAGAAGAATATCTTTTGATTAAATTAATACTTTAAAACCAAGTTTTTCCATTTCATTTCGAAAATATGTTGCATTGTCAAGTACTCGTCCTGTTAAACTTGAATCATTTTCAACTAAATCAATTGCTTTTATAGCACTTGCTACAATTGAACTAGAGGAGGAAAAAAATCAGTATCAAAAATAATACTAAGAAATGTACACACGGCGGAAGTGTATTAGAAAAAAGATAGGGTCTCGAACGTTGTCTTAATAAATCAATAAGAGCTTTTGAACCAGTTGTATATCCACCAGCTGCACCACCTAATGCTTTGCCTAATGTTGAATTAATAATATCTATTTTTCCAATCATATTAAAATGTTCTTCAGTTCCTCGACCTGTTTTTCCAAAAAACCTTTCAAATAAAAAAATATAAAACTCTAAATTTTAATTTATTCAATAATTTTACCCAGTTGCATGACATTCATCAACAAATATCAATGCTTTATATTTATCAGCTAAACGTTTAATATCTGGTAATGGAGCAATTGTTCCATCCATAGAAAAAACACCATCAGTTGCAATTAATCGAATAATATTATCATTATTATTATCTTTAAAACTTTCTTTTAATTTTAATTCAAGATCGGACATATCTTTATGTTTATATCGTAAACGTTTAGCTTTACATAAACGAATACCATCAATAATTGATGCATGATTTAATTCATCCTATATTTAATGAATATATATATACTTTTAACATATTTTAATTACTTACACTAATAATATAATCTTGTTCTTTCAATAATGTTTCAAATAAACCTGCATTAGCATCGAAACAAGATATATAAAGTATTGCATCTTCTCGTTGATGAAAATTTGCAATACGTTGTTCAACTAGAATAAATCTTTTATTTTAATTAAATAAAATAATTAAATTTACGTTGTTTATGTATTGTTTGTGTACCACATATAAATCGTACAGAACTAAGACCAGCACCATACTTATCAAGTGCATTTTTTGCTGCTTGAACTATTTGAGAATTATTTGCTAAACCCAAATAATTATTTGCACAAAAATTTAATAATTCATTTGGAGAATTTTCTATTTTAATATGTGAACTTTGACTTGTAGATAGAATTCGTTCATTTTTCCAAGTACCAGCTTGATGAATAGAATTTAATTCAGGTTTTAAACGTTTATTTATTACTTCAGTTAAAGTTGAAACACGTCGAACAGATGTATATCGTACTGACATAGATATCATTCTTTTACTTTATGCGCTGATTATTTGACGAATAGTGACTCAGTATATTTATTTCAATGATAGTATATTTATTTCGAATGAGAAAAGAAAAAAATCATGTATTATAGAATAGATATTCATATGAATGTTTATTCAATTACATAAATCATGTGAACAAAATGTAAAGCAATCGAATGTGCCCATACGTTTCACACATCCATGATCATCATAATTAATCATTTTTTTCATTAAATCATATTCAGGTGACATGATTGGCATGCAATCACGTTCAACAGTTATTTTACCTCCTATACAAATAAAAAAAGACCTAATTACAATAATAAAAAGAAAATGTTTTTACCAACACGATGAAACCATGAATAACAAATATCATTATCATTTTCACATTGACGAATATCATCATCCCGTGGTAATGAACAAAACGGATCATTTATATTACATGATTTACATGTAAGGGCATTACCTTGACAAATATAATTTTAAATACCAACAATGTATGAAATTTATACTTACATATTGATAATATATAGCAAAGAAAAAGAAAATGAAAAATAAGACTTTTCATTTATTGAGATTGAAATGTGTTAGTTAGAAACAAGAAATACTGATAATGAATAAAATATTGTTGATATTGAGTGCTAGAGAAGAAAAAAATCTTCTTTATGAGATTCTGTCAAAAACAGAAAAAGAAAAAATAATTATGGGAATGTATATATAGATATTATGTAGAAGAATTGAAAAATACTAACTTAGCAGATGACATTACATGATAAAGAAAAGAAAAAATAATGTGTGCCAAGAATTTTAGTCTAATTAAATTATTTTTTCTTGTCCAGGTCGTTGGTTAATGATTGTTTAATATTCATGCCACCATACTCTAATAAGAGGAAAAAAAATTACTTTCAACGACAAATACTAATCGTAGCTAGCTGTTGTCGTTTTGTAATAACACATATAAATAGCAAGTCAATATTAGATGAATTTGTTACATTTAGTGACATCAAATATATCAATAAACTATTTCTTGGAAAGTTATTTCATAAAAAACCATTGATTGATATATTTTCATCGAAGTTGAATTTTATGATGTTATCTCAATATTAGAAAATTCTTAAATAAATCTATCTCAGAGAAAAAAATTTGAAATGTAATTATTCAATTTTTTTCTTTTTATGTTGATGAATTCTTCGAGTAAAATCGTTCGTCAGTTGGTAAACACATTAGTTTGTATAATGTATGCCGAAGCATAGAAGCTTTTAATAATAAAAACTTGTACAACACAAATAAAGATCATCAATTGGTCTTATTTTAAAGAAACAAATTTACAATTCTCTTACGAATTTTATTTATTTATTTACATTATCTAAATATGAAGACTTGTTAGATATTTAATCAGTTTTGTCATCATGAAGTTGAATTAATTGAATCGATTAAGTGTATTACAAAAATATAAATATTCATCACATTTTCAAGCTTTTAATATTATATAAACTAAATTATACAATATCTCATTTCATTATAATTTAGGTTCAGTTCTTTCATAATATAGTAAAATGTTCGATGAAGATAACAATTATATTGAAGTATTAGACGTGAAAACAGCTTTTAAACCATTTTATTTACTAATTTTGAAATTTATTTTACTCTTCTTAAATTATATTTCGGTAAAAAAGCACTGAATATTTTGTAATCATTATATCAGCTCATCCGTAATTTTTAGATCGAATGCATAACAATAATCAAAAAAATATCAGCTAGGACATTGTCAATTGTTTTTTACTCATTTATTTCTTTTGAATATATATGTTCATATGATAATCTTTCGATATCTTCGGGAATTCATCGTACTTAAATAATCTCTTTCTAGGAGACATTTCAAGCCTTAATATTCAGAAGTTTGAAACTCAATCATATTTGACAAGATTAAAAATCAAAAGTAAAATTAAGTTTCAATATTCTTCAAGAATAAATCAAACAAACATTTTTGTAAGGGTGTGGGTGGATCAAGAATAATTCCAAACTCACACCCTCAAAATAACATTAAGATAAGAATATATAGAAGCGAAGCATAATTTTGCGTTATTACTCTCACATGTAAAATTTGTTATATACAGATAAGAATATCGCATTACCTATAGCGTTGAAGGTAAAATAGTGTCTTATCTTTCGTAACTTCTCTGTGAGTAACGGACAAATATTAAATAGTATATAACAAAAGGTAACTCTGTTTCGAGTTTAAATTTTTTTGTAAAATATAATATGCACAATAATCCGAGCTTTAGTGAGTATGCATCTAAGGATATTGAAAGACAAAAATGGTGGCAACAGCGTCGAGCTAAGATTATCATCATCTCGTTGATCGCTTTAGCGATTGTTGTAGTTACCCTCTCTCTGTTGTTAAAATTTGTTATTCTTGCTCCGACAAAGCAAGAAACGACCACTGTAACACCTTCATTACAAACGGCAACAAGCACACTGACAACAACTACATCCACACGACCACAAACAACAACTATAACAACAACTCAGCAGCCAGGTACGTGTTAAAGTAATGCTTCTTAAATAAGGTGTATATCGTTGCTTTTCACGAAACGATTCTTATCATCTAACTAAAGATCAGATTAAAAAGACCAATGAATGTGATGTGAGTGAAGTTCATATCCGATTTGAGTGATTCCACCATCGATTTATCCAAAGTTCTGTTCCAAATGTTTCACTCTTATTTGAAATTATTCGAATTGAGTTCTAACTTTACTCACGTACGATTGAGGGATGGACCATATCCCTTAAAAGAGAGAAACTGTTCCAACTCAACGAGAAATCCTTTACCCACATAAAGTCAAGGGGATATTCTTTTCCCATACAGGTCGAAACAATTCGAGGTCCAAACGTTGATCCATATCTCCACTCATAAGGAGAGATGAGAGATCTATGAAGACATATATGCTTTATTTCTTTTATCACTCTAAGAAGATACTCTAGCAGATTTGGTTTTTTATCAGCAGAAATGAATAAATTATAATACGAAATGGTTTATTCATATCTCCATCAATAAGGAGAAATGAAAGATATATGAAGACATATATACTTTATTTCTTTTTTCACTCTAAGAGGATATTCTGGCAGATTTGGTTTTTTATCAGCAGAAATGAATAAAGTATAATACGAAATGGTTTATTCATATCTTCATCCATAAGGAGAACTGAAAGAAAGAAAATAGAAATATAGATGATTTTATTTTTCATTATAAGGAGATGTTTGTGTTATCGTTAGTTGTATGAGAAGATGGTAGTTTCGGAAGCGGAATAATAGTTTTGTATCGGGATAAAATGCAAATATTCAGTGAACAGGTAATGGTTACTTTGATTATTCTCACTGCTTGTAATAGAACATATTCTACGAATATTACTTAAGTGATATGGTTTAGTTCATCACTTGAAAATAGTCGAAAGAATAGAAGAAGAACGCATGAAGATAACGAAAGGAAAATTACCATACGAACATTTATGTAAAAGTAAAGGAGAAAATCCCGTACGATTATATACAAAGGGATAGAGAAAAATAGCATATAGATAGTATATGTGAGGGAAAGTAAAAAAATACTATATAATCATTTACATGAAAGAATGGGGAACAAATAATTTATATGTTCGCTCACGGAAGATATTGTAGGGGATGTGGTCTTTTACCAGTAGAAATGGATGAATAATAATATGAAATGGTTTATCCATATCTCCACTCATAAGGAAAAATGAAGCTTGAAAAAAGGATTTCTCTCGAAATGAAAATATGGATATCGTATTGATTTAGATATTGAATTCATATATATTCAGGTTTGTTTGATGTCTGTTTAAAATAAAAAGGATTTCTCTTTGCGGTGTATAAAGGTAGAGTATCGAATAATTCATTAAATAGACGTCGCTTTCGTGTTTTCCATTTTTCCTTATTGTGTTACTTTTGTTGGGGTAAACCATTTCTCCTTAAAGTGGAACAGTTTCTCGATCGACGTCTCCAATGGTCAACTGCTGCCACACCCACACCCTCAAGATGATTCAGTTCGAGATCTCTCGGTTAGGTCTCAAAAAAAAAAAACGAATTAATCCTGCTTCTGATAAACATCTAAAACTTTTTATGAGAGTAATCTCTAGTTTAATTCTTTTTTGCGTGATTGCAAGTGTAAAATCCGATTTTGTTATTCTTTTTTCCGACAGCGCAATTTCTGTCAAACATTTTACTTATATAGAGTTTAAGACGTCACAGATGTCAATATTCAACCAAGTCTACATGTTTATTTAACTTCAGATATGAGCGAGTATTAAAGTTGCTTGTGTGTGAAAATAGGTAAAGCATTGTTTCGACTTCTAAAATTCGTCGCTTGTGTCAATCCATAATAGAATCTTATGACCAATCGGCATCATCAATAAAACATAGTATCCTTTTGACATTTATTTATCTTTAGAAGTTATTTGTCAAACACCGTTTGGTCCAAGTAATAGATTATTCACTGGTGGTAGTCCACTATTTGTATCCACGGCAGATTTCAATAATAATGGCAACCCGGATCTAGTAGTATTCAACGCCCATGAAACCAGTATCAGCATATTTCTCAACAATGGAAATGGAGAGTTTCAAAGTCAAATGACGTATGCAGTTGGTGACGGTCTATCCGCTGTCACAGAAGGCGATTTCAATAACGATAGTAAATCTGATCTAGTAGTAGCCAATTTTAATGACGATACTATCAGCGTACTTTTGGGGAACGGTGACGGGAGCTTTCGAGATCAAATGACTTATACAGTTGGCACCTCACCGGCATCTATTGCTGTAGGCGATTTCAATAATGATAATAAGCTGGATTTAGTCGTGACCCACTATGATGATAGCAGCATAAGCGTGCTACTCGGAATCGGCAATGGGAGTTTTGAAAATCAGATTACTTATAATGTTGATTTCCGTTCAATGTCTATTGTCGTTGGTGACTTTAATAATGATGGTAAATTAGATCTAGTAATGGACAATTCTGAAGACGATAGCATCACCGTGATGCTTGGAAACGGTGATGCGACGTTTCAAAATGAAACTAGATATATAGTTGGCTCCCAACCATCTACTGTCTCAGCTGCTGACTTTAACAATGATAGTATTTTAGATTTAGCAGTAGTTAACCAACTGGACAATACTATCGGCATACTACTTGGTAACGGGGACGGAACTTTTCGAGATCAAACAATATATTCCACTAGTAATACTCCAACATATCTCTCAGTAGGTGATTTCAACAATGATGGGATATCAGATCTAATGGTGGTCAATGGTGGTGATCGCAGTATCAGCATATTTCTTGGAAACGGAAATGGAGAATTTCAAAGTCCAATTACATATACACTTGGCTTCATTCCGTTTTCAGTTACAACAGCTGATTTCAATAAAGACAATAGACTCGATCTAGCTGTCGCCGACATGAATAATAACGTCATTAATCTACTTTTTGGAAATGCAGATGGGTCGTTCTCAAATCAAATAAAATATGCAGTTGGCTCTTCGCCCCTCTTTATAATCACAGGT